GAATTTGGGATTTGACCAAAAGAGGGGATGCGTGGAATTGAGGATAGTTGCAAAAGCATTAACAAGTGGATACCCAAAATGGAAAGTAATCCACTGGAAGATCAGAGAGTGCAAGGACTACTTTGTGGGACAGAACCTGTCCAGTTGAGACAAATTAAGTGATTCGCTATCAGATTGAAAACCCTTGTGACATAGCATGCCACAAGGGGAATACAATGATCATAGGCTAAATAAAAGAATTCCAGAGTGAGAAAGCATAGATACTGAGAGTGGGGGTCTTCCCAGCAGTTGACATAACAAATAACCAGTCAACATGAGATGACCTGACAACAGTGACTAAAGAAGTCAGCAAGCCCTATAAGCCTCAGTCATCCAATTAAAAATCATATGCAGAGAATGTTCCTCTAGAGAGAAAGTGGAGGTATAGAGAAATGTCCCCTAACCAGAAAGAGAAGCATTACTGTAAAGATGAAAATCGGACTGGAGTGGGGAGTGGAATAGTGTAGGAGCAATTGAGCCACTATGACAAAGAAGGATGTAGAGAGAAAGATAGGTACACAAGGCAGAAAGGGGACCACATGACATGTACCAATGATGGGTAGCAGATAAAGGGATCCATTGAAAAGTGAGTCAGGAAACCAAGGAAACAATGGTAAATTGCTGGAGAGCAGCCTTACGCTGAGCTTCCGAGAAGTCTGGAACACCCCAAAAGACCTACTCTGCAAGAAAAGTGGTGAGATGAAGGTCACATATTATAAAAGAGGAAGGGATGTGAACACTCCAAAGGAAAGCAACAACAGAAGAGTTCCCAAAAACAATGAAACCAGGTAAAAATAGATAGTAAACAAAGAAACAGAAGCCAAAGTAGCAGAAAAATCAGAACAGGTGTCCCCATCAAAATCATCAGAATTGTGATGAAGAGGTGAAGGGCTGAGATAAATCTAAGGAGTAGGGTAAAGAAAGACAAAGCCAAGCAGATAGCTGGAAAGAAAAAGAAGGAAAAGGAAGAGCACCTAGACAGAAAGGACAAAAGAAACTGAAGTTCAAGAACTATAAAGGGTCATGACCTGAAACTATAACAAAGGAGACACAAAGATAAGTAGGACAAGAAAGATGAGGAACAATGTGGAGCTGGTACAAAAAGAGGCTCAAGAAGCAAAAACAGCAAGAGTCATTATGACAAACAGGTAAAAAGAGATAGATTAACACATACCTGATTTATGAGTGTAATGATAAAAAAAAAAGAGAGGTACGTGATCTTCATTAGCAAAAATCGAGCCAGAAGCAAGAGCTGGAAGATTTGGACAAATCTGTCCACAAGCGAGGCAGGTAGTACAGAATGCAATAAAATAGAATGATGAGGGATCTGAACTGGAGAAGTTGTTGGCATAAGAGAACCAACCACTTGATGCACAACACAACTCCAAAAGATTGCAGTAATGTAAATTATTGATGACGTCAATAGTAACTCATCACAGAGTAAAATTCAAGACCTGTCATATGCAAGCATGTACTCTACCAAGTGAACTATGGGATAAAAATTTTAAGTGAGTGTTGTCCTGCAAGATGCAAGAAAAAAAATTTGATAAATGATAATAAAGTTTATTTTGTGCAACATTTAGAGAACAGAATGTCACAGTACTAAAACATGAACTTGACATTAACAGAAGAAAAATCAGAGAATCTTTATTAAAAAAATCAAACAATCCCACAATTAACAAGTACTCAGGCACATCTCTATATGTCTTTGATTGTTATTTTCACAGACACTCCTAATCTTATGCATATATTTACTTGCTTTTTGTTTGTTTTTTCTGTTCAGCCATAAATCAGTCATTTCATATGGATTGGCATGCACATGCTTAAGTAACCACTATCAATTCTACAATTTAAATACATTGTTAGATTATTAAATGTTGATTTGAATATTAAAACCTTCTTTACCATTAAAACTTGTGTACCAAAGAATAATTGTATCAGTGTTTGAAACATTGTACCTGTTCTAAAAACAAATCTTCCTTTCTGTAAAAGTTAGTTAGTTGATTCAAGTTCTGATGGGAAGACCCAGATCAAGTGGATAACACACCAAACTTTTATCAAGAAGTCACAGGTTCGAATCAATACAGAAGTAGCCCTCAGGACTTCTCTGAACACAGTAGCAGATTAGCAGTCAAAACACAGAATAAAACTAATTAGTATCTAGCTATTTACACAGAAAATTAGTTACTAAAACTACAGCATACTCCCTTCTACTAATAGAATATTATTCTTGTATGCTTGATGTTTTTTAATTTATTAATAATTTCACTTCCTTATAGTCATTCATATGATGACTAGACTTTGGGTTAACACAAAATGTTTTGGAAAGAATACATATATTTTCAGCTAGCTCGATCAAACTGATAAAAACATTTCATGCATCATTTACATTTTTTCAATCTAGGTTTGCCACACAATCTCTCTCTCTTTCAAAACATTTTGCAATTTCTAGAAGTCAGCTTTCCTAAATTGTAAACAAAATTCTTAATATTTACTTGGAATCTGGTTTCATGACTGCTAGTGCTCAGATACTATTGCACAATATTCCTAACCATATCCTCTTCAGTACTAATGATATTCTAAAATAGCTTCTTCCCTGGTGGGATTTTTCACATGACTAGTAATCTTCTCCTCCCCTAACTACAACTTTTTAAATAGATTATAGGCCATCACAGGCCCTTTTGAACAATTGTGGATATCCCAACTCCAAGCCTCCCTCAAATATTAATTAACACTTTTCTTGAACTCCTGTAAAGTTGTAGCCTCTACCACCCCAGATTGCAATTTGTTCCATGGAGAATGTTACAAAAATAAAAGTGCCTCAGCTAGAAATGTGTCCGACTTTTCCAAATCTTAACTTTATGACCTCTTGTCCTGCTACCTTCAGAGTTCAACAAGAAAAAATCTGATGCATCAGTCTTATCAATTTGCTTAATTATTTGGAATAATCTATTTAGGTCCTCCCTTTACAATAAAGCAGACTAAGAAATCTCAATTTATTCTCATATGAAAACCTATCCATCCCTGAACAATCTTAGCAGTCCTCCTTTGAATACTCTCTGACAATATTCCAAAAAGTCTAATTAGTAACTTATACAGTGAAACTATGATCTCTTTAGACCATATAACAAAAACTTCTACTAGCTTTACCACTTGCGACAGAATAATATTTAAAAAACTGATGAGTTGTATAATCCATATGCTTAGTCTTAAACTTATAATACATACCACCTGCCAAGCACATGTCCAATTGATCATCCAATCCAAGTCTCTCTGCAAATCATGATATACACATTACAGACAGACAAAACAGACCTAGGGTTTTCATATCATCAGTAAATTTAATTAATTCCTGACTATGCCCATATGAATATTATTAATGTGAATGAGGAATAGCAATGATCTCGGCACAGACCCACGAGGTACACCACTTGTAACATTACTTCAACTAGCCTTAACTCTATCAATCCATTTAACACTGTCCCCTACTTCAAAAGGTATTTTTCAATTCTTTATGTAGCACCTTATAAAAGGCTTTTTGAAATCCCAAGTAAATCAAAGTCATTTCTTCACTCTCATCCAGATAAAAAGAACCAGACAAACTCATCCAGTCTCCTTATAATAATAATCCTGCTTCTATTTGCCTGTATATACTGCATTCCCATTAATATCAGTAACCTAAACCAAACTTGTGAAGATTTTAATAATTACATTTTTCTTTTCTTTTTTCAGAAGCCTACCAAAACACTATATATTTTGTCACTTTCAGTTTCAATGATATTACTTCTTCCATAAATAAATTGTCCGTCCAAATCTTACAACCAAAATTACTCCTTTTCTTCTTTTATTTGAATGAAACCTTTTGTTCCCCTTATAAGAATTACAGCATAAACTTGTTGAAAAAAAAAGATGCAGAGACAAACCTTTTAGAAGTATATCTGATTTAGTTATTTTAATCTTCAAGAAGAGGCTTAATATTTGGGCTTGTTTCCTGTAGAGTGAGAAATATTCAGAAAAGACTATTTGACATAAGGTTTTAAAAAGCAAATTTGAATATCAGAGGTAACAGATTTCAGCTTTGGAAGACTTAATGTAAACTTTAATATTGTTTTCCAGGTTATACTTATAAACTTATGAAATGACCTTTCTGGTGATATGATGTTACTGAAAAAAAAAATACACACCCAGTGCTCTTGCAAGTTGTAGTTACACTGGTCTTCTACATTGATACAATGATTGTGATACTGGGTGTAATATTTATGCTACCCTAATATTACTAATATTTTATTAATATACTGTTATAGTTATAGCCCGAATTCATTATCTTTGTTCTATAGATATAAATCATAATAGTAATAGGAATATGATAATGATGGGATGTTTTTAAATTGGTTTTGTTATATTGGTTACTTTAGTAGCTGCTGGCTTTCTCAGTTTCTGTAATCTTTTTAGTTTTTACGTTTTTACTTTTTAATATGATAGTTCATGGTTTTATTTAACATTCTACACTAACATGGATATTATGTGTAGTTCCTTGCTTTAAGTTTAATCAAGACAAAGAATACAAATTATAGTTATAAGTTGCAGTTATACAGCAAAAAAACATGAAATAAAAACAAACTCCATTTCTAGTAATTTATAGTCATATTGCGATTAATCACTATTACTATTAGTATTATTGAGTTATAGAAATAAATTATTATTAATAACATTATCCTGTCGTGACTGAAATTTTAATTTTAAACTTAAAATTAAACTGACTTATTCTTAAGTTATTGAGTAACATTAACAGTAACTTAGTGTAACACATAAAATTAGGCATTATTGAAATTAAAAACTTCGATTATTCTGTTGAATGTATTATTTTAATTTCACAATATACTTTAAAAATCATTAATTTTTTCTCATTAATAAAATTCCTGTACCTAACGTGGAATACGTAATGTTATCTTCATACTAACTTGATACGAGGTTAGATTAACCTCTTCGCCTACCGGAGTAGCCATCTTTTCAACAAGAGAATTTTAACTGGTCCTCTAGTTTGATATATATGTATTTAAAACAAATAATCTTAAATAGATGTATTTCAGTTTTCAAGCAACCAGTAAAGTCCACCAGACATACATAGGGTGGATAAAGCCTACACATTCAGCTAATAACGCTAAAAAATTGGGCTTCGATACTAGCGGTGGACAGGTGTAGTTTCGTACTTAACAAGAAAATAAACACACAAGCATACAGAAATGCGTGATATGCATACCTTATTGAGCATTGCTTAAAAACAACAGTGTATTAAACATTATTTGAAAATCGATTTTCAGCAATTAATATATATGCTAAAAAGTTAAAAGCATTTAGAGTAATAAATATATTGTTACGTCTCTGGTCGTTTGTTAATTTCCCGGTATAAACTCTTCCCGAGGAACTTCAGTGATACAAGTCCTTTCTTAAATAAAACTAGTTTATTCTTTCTCAATATAACTTTGCAATACACAGAATTTCCACACTCACTTTAACGTAAACCCACGCTATAATTCACAACGATTTACACACTTTACTTACGGCTTGACTCGATTATCTGTCTATCTGCAATTATCTATGCCGTCACTTCTATTCTCCGCTTTATTTGCCGGGCTTATATATACAAAATAGAGGGCGTCTGGCAAACACTCGAACCTTCATGATCCTTCTAGAAACTCATCACGTGTTACCAGCGTCACGTGACTTCTGTTGTCGTAACAATATAAAATTAAGGGAGAAAAGACCAATAAAATTGTGTGCATCATATCTGCTTATAACAAATAATTCTACGCAGAATGAGTGTTTCTATTGCCTCAATCAGTGTTCATGCCCATAGTTAATTTTCCTTATCATTATCAAGTTTACCCCACAACAGTTGTTGTCCATGCAGTTTGATAATATAAATAGCGTCTCAACCATTACTATGTTTGTCGTATAACAACCTGCCTGATGATCTCCGGTATTGGACGAATGACCATGTCGGGATTGAATATAACAGAGATAGTGTAATCTTTGATAGGTTGTTTAGGCAGAGTAATCATAATGAATCTAAGTTTCAAATGGATAGCAACTGCCTGTTGTAGAAACCTACAAATGTAGAGGACGATGTTTCGAAAGTCTTCCGCCTTTTGTCTTCAGGTCAGTTAACAGAGGCAAGCCTGTGCTTTAAAGCGCCAAAAACTCCTTTCTGTAACCTGTGTTTTCTTCGTTTGACTTTGTGATATTTGCAAGTGACTAAGAAGAAAAAAAAGTTCACTGAGAGAAGGAATAGCTTGAGATGTTCGACTGTCATCATAAAAGTTAAAAAGGAAGAAAACTTATTCTAAAGGTGCAGAACGAATTACAACTGAATTTTTCTGCATTTAGTCTGCGTTTTAAGATGCCTTTTATAATCTATATTAGTTAGATTTTTTCTTCTCTTATTATGAAAATTGTAAATTTTGCCGAGAAACTATAACAACATAAAAAGGTGAAGCATGGTTTATTCTGGTATTCGCCACCTCTGTTAGACCGGTTTTAAGGAATTCCACTCCATGTCAGTGTCCTGAATACAGTGGCGTAGCAAGAGGGGTGCAAGTGGTGTGGGGGGCAGTACCACACAGTGTTACGTTATTTGTATGTATTACACTTGCAGTTTTAACTTTTAAAAGCTACCCACTGAAATACAGTGAGAACGAATTGACGCACAGAAGTAAATTACACTCACTATTCAATCATTCATCTGTAGATCAAATACAAGTCCTAGAGTACAACGTACAAGTAAGAGTATGTTCAACAAAAAGAAATATGAGATTGATGTAACATATTGTTACGTCTCTGTTCGTTTGATAAT